CTTCATTAAGAGTTTAAGATAAAACTCAACCCTCTTTTCTAATGTCAACATAATTATGAAATGTTAGACAATTTATCCAAATCAACGACTTGTTGTTACCCATTGAAAATCTTAACGTTAATGTTCTGTTAACTTAAGATTGGGTTGCCGCCATTGTCGGAACTCTTACTCAAGGAGTTTCAACCCCATACCTCTCGAGGTTGTTCTTACTAAGTCTCTGGCCAGCGGCTTAGTAAACGGATCAGCCAAATTATAGCTTGTTCGTATATACGTAAGTGAAATGATTCCATCCTTAATCAGTTTTCTTACGAATGAATGTCTAAGTCCTATATGCCTGGACTTTCCATTATACACTTCGCTAAATGCTCTTGCCAAAGTGGCCTGACTATCGCAGTGTATCATTACCTTTGAAACATTGTCTTTAGCCAATGGAACTTCCAAAAGAAGATCCCTCAACCACTCTGCCTCTTGACTAGCGGAAGCGAGAGCCACGAATTCTGATTCCATGGTCGAAAGAGTAATGCATGTTTGTTTCTTGCTCTTCCAGGAAATTGCTCCTCCAGCTAGTGTAAATATCCACCCAGTTGTAGATTTGTGATTTCCCACGTCAGAGATCCAACTGGCATCGGTATATCCTTCTAGTATAGCAGGAAACCTACCATAATGAAGACCAAGATCTTTGGTTTTCAACAAATAACCAAATATCCTCGTGATTGCCTTCCAATGTTCATTACTTGGATTACTAGTAAATCTACTCATTTTACTAACTGCAAATGATATATCGGGTCTAGTACATTGCATTAAGTACATAAGACATCCGATCGCACTTGCATATTCTAATTGAGCCACTGCTCTTCCATCATTCTTTTCAAGTTTGATTACATGATCAAATGGAGTAGTTACTTCCTTGAATTTCAGGTGTTTGAACTTATCAAGCATTTTCTCAATATAATGTGTTTGATTAAGTTCATAACCCCCACTATTTTGCTTAACTTTTATTCCTAAAATTGTGTCAACAAGCCCAAGATCTTTCATCTTGAAAGTGGAAGTTAGAAACCTTTTTGTTTCTAGAATTCCATTAAGTCTATTGCTAATTATTAGCATGTCATCAACATAAAGACACAAAAATATTACAGTGTTATTATACACTTTTGTATATAAACACTTGTCACAAGAATTAGGAATAAATCCATTTGACATTATCGTAGAGTCAAACTTTTGATGCCATTGTTTTGGTGCTTGTTTTAAGCCATATAGAGATTTGACAAGTTTGCACACCTTCTGTTCATTTCCAGGAAGGACGTGTCCTTCTGGTTGTTCCATGTAGATTTCCTCATCGAGGTCTCCGTTTAGGAATGCTGTTTTAACATCCATTTGATGAACAATCAGATCATTTAAAGATGCTAAAGCAAACAACAACCTTATAGTGGTTGTTCTCGCTACAGGTGCATAAGTGTCAAAATAATCTATACCTTCCTTTTGTCTAAATCCTTTTGCCACTAATCTTGCTTTATAAGTGTTTAATGTACCATCACTATGATATTTCCTTTTAAACACCCACTTGCATCCAATGGGTCTTGATCCCTTTGGTAAATCAACAAGTTCCCAAGTGTGGTTGGACATAATTGAATCCATTTCATCTCGGATAGCATCTTTCCAAAAAGAGGAGTCTCTTGAAGCTATTGCTTCCTTATAAGTTTTAGGATCTTCCCCTACTTGAAGAATTACCGGAATGCTTTTAATAAAATTTGTATTATTTCCTTCAACCAGATAAAATGAAATGGATTGAGAATCAATTTCGTCTGGTCCTAGGTTCTTTATTTTCCGGACTCTTTTGCTTATCCTAGGTTCGGGTCGTGGTTCATTTATTCGAGATGTGTCTTCAGGTTGTATTTCTACAATCCGAGAAGAGTCCTTTTCACAAGATTCTTTGTTTATGGCCGACTCTGATTCTTTATCCTTAGTTATAAGGTTTTCAAAGAATTCTACATCCCGGGATTCAACAATAATATTAGACTCTAAATTTAACAGTCTATATGCTTTGCTATTTTGTGCATATCCTACAAATGCACATCTTATCCCTCGAGGACCCAACTTGGTTCTCTTAGGATCCATGTTTTTGTAATATGCCACACACCCCCACACTTTAAAGTAGCCAATATTTGGTGTCATGCCCTTCCATACCTCATATGGAGAAATTCCACTTTTCTTTAAGGGAATTCTATTTATTATGTGACAAGCGGATAATAAAGCTTCGCCCCACAAATTGAAAGGTAGTTCGGAATGCAATAACATGGCATTCATCATTTCTTGATATGTTCGATTCTTTCTTTCTGCTATGCCATTTTGTTGTGGTGTTCTAGGTGCCGAACATTCATGTATTATACCATGTTCTTCACAAAATGCATCAAATTCAGTGGAGAAGTATTCACCGCCCCTATCACTCCTAAGGACTTTTATACTTCTACTTAATTGATTTTCCACTTCTGCTTTGTAACTCTTAAAGGCATTAAAAGCCTCATCTTTATGCTTTAAGATATATACATAAGTGTATCTAGAGCAATCATCAATAAATGTAATGAAATATCTATTTCCCCCACGGGTCAACATGCCATTAAATTCGCACAAATCTGAATGTACAAGATCAAGCAGATTTGTATTTCTTTCAACACTTTTGAAAGGTTTCTTAATCATTTTTGATTTAACACATAATTCACATTTATTGAAATCTTTGATATTACATGATATCAAGCCAAGTTTAATTAGTCTCTTCATTGAACTAATACCAATATGTGCTAATCTATTGTGCCATAAAGTAACTGAATCAAGCATGTAAGCAGAATTAGAAATTTCATTAATCATGTTATCAGTAATACATAGTTTGATCATTCCTTCAGCGGAATATCCTTTTCCAACAAACACACCATTACGGGTCAAGATAAGTTTGCCCGATTCATACACAGATTTAATACCCGGTTTTCCCAATAAATCCCCACTAACAAGATTCCTATTCATGTCTGGGACATGAAGCACATTGACAAGAGTAACTTTCTTTCCAGAAGTGAAGTTGAGTTCGACCGTTCCGGTTCCAACAACTTTGGATCGCACTTCATTTCCCATTTGTACTTCTTGTCCATCATTTGCCTCAGAATATGTTTTGAATGCAGCCCTGTCATATGAGACATGAACCGTGGCACATGTATCATACCACCAGCCTTGGACCTTGCCTTTGATTGCCATAATTTCGCTCACAGTAGCAATTATATCATCATTAGCATTCACTGCATTGATCTCCTTTTTTGATTTATTATGCCTGCAATCTCGAGCATAATGTCCAGGTTTTCCACATACAAAGCATCCATTTTTCGGACCCTTCGGACCACCGAAGTTCTTGAACTTGGTATGTTCCTTTTTTGGTGCGATGTGACTTTTCTTGACATCATGTTTTTTCTTTTCCTTTCTGGTCACAGCATTGGCTTTGGAAAGACCCGCAGATTCTGATTTTTCCCTCTCCTTCGATTCCTCCTCGATTCGAAGATGCTTCTGGATTTTCTCCAAGGAAAAGTCATCAGAACTGTGCAACAGTTTCTTTTTATAGCCTTTCCACGAACTTGGTAATTTCGCAATGATTGCACCAACTTGAAAGGTTTCAGGAATGTCTATTTTTACCGCTTTGATTTTGTTCACCAGGACTTGCAATTCATGCACTTGAGGAAGTATGGGCTTGGAATCTATAAATTTAAAATCAAAGTATTTAGAAATTAAGAACTTTTTCGTACCTTCTTCTTCGGCTTTGAATTTAAACTCCAGGGAATTCCATATGTCTCTAGCGGACGGATTGTCTGTGTATAAGTCGTATAGGCGGTCAGATAGCGTATTCAGAATATGCCCACGGCATAGTAATTCGTCCTCCCTTCGCAGCATGCGCTTCTTCTTGAGTTCGTCAGAATCATCTGCAGTTGGTTCTGGAATTGGTGTCAGATTGGGATCCAAGACGTAGTGAACCTTGAGTGCAGTAAGCAGGAACGTCATCTTGTCTTGCCATCTGGTAAAGTTGTTTCCATCGAAACGATCCAATTTGACAAGGTCCTGATTCATAACTTTGATACTTGAAACAGCAGCGTCGGAATCCATGATAGAAATACTTTTAAGATTGTTAGATAATTCTTCTATGTCGAATGGATCCAGACTGAATCGTGAACGAAATCACTTTCCTTAAAAGTATTTCAAGCACACTCTCAGATTGTCTGAATGCAAGGAAAATGTTGGAATTATATGGAAGAGGATTTCAGAAGTGCTCAAGTGCCGTCTACAAGCCGCCACTAGCGCCTCTACGCCCACGCCCCCGGTTCCGGAGCCGGAGCCGGTGTCGCCGGTGGCGACACCGGCGAGGGGTGTTTTGTATGAGACAAGTGACATAAGTTTTGGCACCACCACATGTGACTATGTGGCACTTTATCCTTTTTGGCTCTTTTGGAAATTACATTGTTCCAAGTGCCTTATAAATGCTATTTAATTTTACTCCTCTTCCAATGTGGGACTAAGCATTTATTATAACACCCACTTTGTCATTTTGGAACAACTTTAATGGAAATAAATTATTATTTCCAACAATATCCATATCCATTTCAAAAAGAAAGAAGATACTAATAATGTTTCAGATACTCGTAGTACATCATCATATTACTACAAGTCTTATCGATCCAATGTTCACATAGAAATGTTGATTCCTTGAATCTTTTGATAACATCTAATCAAAATACTATACTACTTGAGATAATTCAACAACCTCAAGCAGAGTGCAAACTGCAAAATTCACAAACAAACACAAAAGATCCAAATTCAGAGAAATATTAGATTCTTTTCATTATGGCCCATCAATGTACACATCACTCTAATTAATCATCACTCCTATTCTAATTTCATTTCCTTTACAAAATCAAACTTTTTCATTTCTCTTCTCAATTCTATGAACTACTAGTTTCTTTCATTTTTTTTTTTCACACTTCGTCTTCAAAAGAACTTCTCGTTGAACACATTGATTTATCCTCAGAAACACCCATTGAACAATCTGAAAAATATATAATTCAAATCAAATTAAAAAAATTAATTCGCATAATTAAAATTTAAAAAAATACTTTTTTTATAAATAAAAAAAGTACCTCTGGAGTTAAACGATTTCTTGCAGTGAAGAATAGCACTTTGGATTCCATCGTGTTGTTGCAGCAGCGTATCATCACTCCTCTTCGCCGGAGAACCACCTCCGACAACCGTACCCGACGACCTACTCTTACCAAAATGCTTAGAAACCACCTTCATCCCCGCCGGGAAACTCCCTTGTTTCTGAACCGCCGGTGACGAAGACGGCGAACTCATCACAGTCATCCTTTCGCCGGGGGACTTCACCTTCTCACTGTACCTCTTCGAAACCTTAACATACAAAGGCTTAATCAACTTCAAATACTTAAGCAAAATCTCTTTCGAAACGCGTTCTGTTTTAGCTTCCTCTGTTCCCTGATTCCGAGCTTTGCTTGCGAAGCTTCTCGTGCTGTTGTCTCTGCTAAGCGTTGGAGTACAATGAAAATCCTCCATGTTAACTTTCACAGCGAAGACTTTAGTTTCTTTCTTCCGAGTCTGAGTCTGTTCATGTTCTGTTTTTTCAGAAGGGATTCTTCTCTGTTTTCTGAACGTGAAGATTCTGAAACTCGGTGCTGATCTTAGAAGCGAAATGGGTGATTGAGGCTTCGTAGTAGGTTCAATTGGAAGCACTTTTCGCTTCGAAATGGGTTCCTTTGGAGACAGAGGAACCGCTGTTTTATGTGGAACATTAACTCCAGTTTCGTGGGTAGTAATGTTTGTTGTTTTGAGAGGTTGGTCGTAGTTGGTTTCGTTGAGGGTGAGTTCTAGATCAAAGAAGGAATCGTTTTCGTCTGATTCAGTGTCGGTTTCGACAGCAAGATGAGGAACAGTGATGTTTGAGGCGGTTGTTGTTGTAGTGTTGTTTCTCCAGAACTTGAAGAAGTTGAGAGCGTCCATGGAAGAGTCTAGAGAGAGAGAGGGAAAGAAAGAGACTAGAGAGTTTGTTGGTGAATATGGTTGTTGAGTTTTGGGTTTTATAAGAGAGTTAGGTGAATGAACAAAATGTGAGAGAGAGAGAGAGAGAGAGAGAGAGAGAGAGAGAGTTTAGTTTAACTTTTTCACTTCGTTTAATGGCTTTGTTATTGAAAATTTTGCTTTATTAGAGGAATAAGAGAGGTTTAATTTAACTTTTGCTTTTTGTATTTATTTTGGTGTGTGTTTTTTATTGTACTTTTAATTTGTTGAAATTGGTTATTTGGAGCTGAAAGAAAAGAGTGGGGTATAGAGGAAAAAGTAAGATGGGAGTACTGTGTAGTGTACAGTAATTGTGAGCTCAGTCTTTGGAGTTATGAAGGAAACGTTTCAGTTTTTTAAAGTTTTTTAATATCTAAATTTGAAAATTGAGATTTGTTTGCCCCACTTCTGCAACTATTTCTGTATGGCTTAGTCGCATTAATGTCTGTTTTAGGTTTACTGTAGTATTAATTTTGGAATATAAGGTTATTATAGAGCTAGGGTACAGATCAGAATTACTAGCAAACTAGAATTGACCACTTCAAAAGTGTGGTTATTCAGTGAGGTTTTACGAGGATATATGAATTATTTATTTTAAACTGAATTAATTATTAATTTTAATAATTTGTAGGTATGTTTATAACCGGACAAAATAGAATTATTTGTATAGGAATTATTTTTGCCATGTAGTTTAATGATTGAAATGTATTATTTAAAAATAAATAAATAGAATGATACATCTAATAATATTTAATAATATTTATGTGTATGTTACCAAATTATTTAACAAAGTATCACATTGAACGTGTGTATTAAGTAATGTTTTAAAAACCAGATCGAATTGTTTGGTCTAATTGATTGGATCGAGAATTAAACATTCATTTGTATTTGTAGGTGATTGAGATGAGTCGGAAGCGTTTGAGCACGGGATATCAATAGTGAAGGAGCACTAAATGTGGAATTGAGGGTCATCTTTGATGAAATGTATTTTTGTTTAATAAATTTTATTGTTGTCTTATAATGTTAAAATTATTAATATTTCTTATAATCTAATTTTATAATGTAATTATTATTAATTATTATTTTATAATTAAAATTATTAAAATTATTAAATTTATTAACATTATTTTATTATTGTTAATTAAAATAAAAATTATTAACATTAATATTTTAATAATTAAAATTAAAATTATTAATAAACAAAATTTATACACTTATCATTAAATAATTTAACATTAAATTATTAACATTTATCATTATCAACATTAAAAAATTATTAACATTAAAAAATTATTAACATTTATCATTTATCATTATTAATAAAAATTATTAACATTAATATTTTTTTAAAATAATTTTGAATAAACACAATTCACACATTTATCATTAAATAATTAAAATAGAAAAAAAAAATATAAAAATTGCATCCTTCACATGCTCGCCCTTTCAGTGGGCGAGCACACACAGACACCAATTTCGCTTCACATACTCGCCCAATCAGTGGGTGAGCACCCTATGAAAGTGGGACACTTGCATAATTAAATTTTAGACTGAGATATTATGGGATTTTCAATTTCAAAAGAGGGCATTCTGGAAAAAAAAAGTCTAAAATTAGAGTTAAATTAGAAAAAATCGAATTGAATCGTCCAAAATCATTCGAAACAAAGAATCGTAGTGGATTTTATAAAATCGTCTCGTTCATAAAAAATGCATGAAATTGACATTTTTTTTAAATTTTTTAGACAAAATGGATGGTGCACTGATAGTGACCGTGTAAATTATTTTTATACGGTTAACTAATAACAATTATGTATCCCGTCAAATTAGCATATAAATTTTAAATAATTTATATGATTTGTCACTTTAAACTATTATGATTGGATGTATGTGTAATACTTTTTTACACACTACCATTAAACTCTAATTTTAATATGCTAATATCAAAATTTAACAAACATTTCTCAATCACAAAAAAAAGAATTCTGTGTGTTTTTTAGCACCATACAAATTTCTAAGTTTTGTCGCTTCATTATAATTTTTTTTCAACCACACACTATCATTATCATGTCGTCAATTTTAAGTATAATCACGATGTCCAATTCAATATTGATTGTCGTTCAAGTCAATATTGTTTGTTGTTGTCAATTAATTTTTATTTATCGTAACTCAACTCAAATTTGACTTTTTTTGTTTAATAAGTATATTGTATTATTTAAATTTTGGTATTCTATGTTATTTAATTTAGGTACTTAATTATTCAAAATTTAATTTAGTTATTATATTATTTTTATTTTGGTTTGAATTAGTTTAATTTATTTTATTATAATTTTTTAGTTTGGCCAAAATATTCTCAAAATGATGATTGAAATGAAGTGTAGAACTATGTTATGTTATGTATTATCGATATTGTTGTATTAAATTTGTAATAAATTTTTGAAATATTTATTTTATTAAGTTGTAAACATATAATTATGTGTAACATATTTATGAAATTTAATTTTATATTATTAGTTTATTTTATAAACAGTTTGATCGTAGGTTTAACCAATTTAACCAATTAAATTTTAAATTGTCAATTTTATCGGTTTGATCTCCAGTTCAATTTTTAAAACATTAGTATTAGTAGTCTCTTTCAAATAACAAATATTTTTAAAATGTATTTATAAATAGACAAATACATGCATGGAAACGAATATCATGAGATGGTGGTTATAATGAAAAAGAAAAAAAAAAAAAATATATATATATATATATATATATATATATATATATATATATATATATATATATATATATATATATATATATATATTTTTAATTAATAAAAAAATTATGATTGAGAGTGTATAAAATTAATTTTTATTGTTTGTTTCCATCTAAAAAAATTTCTTATAAGTGATGACAAAATGAATCTATTTTACCCTATTTTTTAGACTGAACAAAGTTTTAAATCTATACTTTCAAGTATTTCTTTTATAAACTTTTGTAAGCGCACACGTTAGTATAATTCTTTTTTATTTTTAAGTTTAAATGTCTGAATCCATCCTGTCCCACTTTATTTTCTATTTCATGACTTACGAATTAACTCATTGTCACCTAAATTAAATTTAATGGTTAGTTTTTCGTTTCATATTGTAGTGTGTGGCTTAAATTATTAAAATTTTGTTGAATCATTTGTACTATTTAAGTCAAAGCAAAATCTTTTGTACTATTCAACTGCTCTATTAATATAGGAATACAATATGTAACTTGTCATTATAAAAGAATCATTACAAACAACATGGAGTATGATTATTATTTTTTCTTTTACATTCTTACTTGGATAAAAAATATCACAAGAGAAAACCATACAAGGTTCATAGAGATGCTATTTGAGATGTTGAGAATACATGGATGGTGGTGAGAAACTTCCAAAAAGGCAAAGAAAAGAAGAAGGATAAAAAGAAAACGAAAGATAAAAAAAGTTGATAAAAAAGAGAGAAAACGTAAGGTCTATCAAAATGCTTCACTTTACCTTTTAAATTTATCTTTTACAGAGAGACCAATTTATAAAGAGTCAGAAAATTGGTTTCTCTTACAAGCCAAAGGAATTGAAGCACGCATGTTCTGTTTGCTTTTAAGAACCCTATACCCTAAATTTGAAGGCCCTTAACTCTTTTTTGCCTTTGAATGTGTCTTTTGCTTCTAAAGCTTTGACTTGCTTTGCTTACTCTTTCACTCTTCCTTTTTTTATTGGACTACAATATTTCTAGAAAGGTTGCAAAAATGTAGACTAGTCAATTTTTTATTTTGCAACTAAAATGTGAAGACTTGGACTTTCATGACTAATGTTATGTCCACCAATTTTGTATTAGATATGGTGTCCTTTTCTGAGTAGATTGCAAGTAATAGTTTTAGCATCAATAATTTTTATATTAGTATTATTGAGTTTAAAGATATTTACGAATTTTTTTTTTATAATAACCATCTATTAAATAATAAATACCAAAATAACAAGTATTTCAGAAATTTTTTCAAAATGACTATGAATCCAATAGGCGTTCGCCATTTGAGATGGCGAAAGAGAAGGAAATGAAAATTTGGAAAAAGCAAATCGCCATGACAATTGGCGAATGCTTGCAAGGTTGAAGTATTTCGCCATTTAGATTGGCGAATGAGACCAAGTTAGGGTTTCCATCGTTTGCAGGAAAATTGTCTCATTCGCCATTTGGTCTAGCGAATTCGTTTGGAGACCAATTTCCATTTTGCCTGTTTCGCCAATTCAAATGGTGACCGATTGCTGAAAGTTAGTTGTTTTGGGAATTTGTTTGAAACTCAAGTTTTATTGGTAATTAAATTGAAAAAAGTGGTTATTGTAAAAAAAAATTCGATATTTACAGCATAAAATAATTTTATTGTCATTTAATAAAATGTATTATTTAGTCATGTTAGATAAGTAATTTAAAAATTACAATAAGATATACAGTCGTGATTGAATGATAATATAAAATTAATTTATACTATATTATATTTTATTGTAAATTATATTTTATTGGACTGATTTAGTATTATTTTTCAATTGAATAGTTTTTTATAGGTAAAATATCATTCATTTTATTGTGTGTGACATAAGTAATTATTGATGAGTAGTATGTCTTAAGTAAGTTAGAATATGCAAACAACTTATAATATGAATATTCTTATGACATTTGCTTAACTATTTTAGCACATTTCCAAAACAATTTATACACACAAGCGAATGACAACAATGTTTACAATAGGCTATTTTGTCATTCTCCGTATTTGGTGATAAGTGAAATTATTAATAATAATTTTGATTTATTGTTAAGTGAACTATTGAGGTGTGTTATTTTAACATCTAATTTTTGATTCCTTATATATAACACTTTTAGTACTATCTTTGTCTTTCATTTACTTAATGAGGTAGAAGGGGTGGTGGCACT